TAACCACAAACGTATTTACATCTAAAACGCATTAAAAAAAAAACTATAATAGATATTTTTTGGAAGAAAGAGAGAAAGTTAATTATATTGGAGGACCCAAACTATCAAATAATGGAAACAAGTACTACTATTACAGCCTGCCAAGAGTCAGTGAACCACGTCAGCATAGCTGCTTGCCCCTACTGTAAGTGATTGTAATTTCTGGACTCATTACCGCCCCATGTTTTTAAATATTCACATTTAATGAATGTCAACCTCCTCAGACCATAAGGAAAACACACAACAGGCACTCACAGTCAATATCTCAGAGAAAGCAAGCTGACAAGCCAAGTGGCAACAATAATGCTTCAGAACAAATCAACAAACTTTCTGGATTAACATATAAACACTGCTCTAATCCCCTGCACCCCTATTAAATAAGACGGATTCCAGAAACCCTTTCTGACATTGCTGGATAAAAAGTATGCATTATGGTATGTGCTGCTATGTTATGTCTACATTATGTGCGAACTCGGCCTTATTTGGCATACCGACTGAGGATTCTGATTCTGACTGACTCCCACCCATATGTGTGTGTTTTTTGTTTTCGTTTTCTACCCAGGACCGTTTTTTTTTTAAAAAGAGGGGCACTCTCTTTTTTTGGAATTTCTTTTTTGCTGTCTGGCAGCTTTGGACATCTAGATGTGTGCCCCTTGCCTCTCTTTCTTTCTTTCCATCATGTTGTGTCATACCGCTGGGTGCTCTTGTCGATCCTGTTTGTCTGCATTGTAAAAAAAACAAAAGAAGCTATAAATAAAATAATTTTGAAATAAATAATAAGATGGCTTCCCTAACGAATAATGCCAGGCAAGTCAACTTGCTTTTCCTCCAGTGTGAAGGAGCTGAAGAAAACTTGTTTCTGATGAATGAATGTATTATTCTGAAAGCCATCAGAGTTTTCTCAAGACGTAGTGGCCCAAAAACATGTATAAGGCTACAAGTAATGCTTGTTTCAATTATAGATTCATCTACAGAACAGTAATTGGTTCATAGTTCAGTCAATACGTTGCCATAAATCTCATTAAAAAATTGGCATAGCAATTAACCAGATCCCAAACTAACCACAAATTGCTTCTCTCATCCCAAACGGTTTACTTTTCCTTGGTGTGATGAACCAGCTCATCGCTGCAGATCTAGATTATAGCCAACATGATATCCACGTCCATCGGGGGGGGGGGTGACCAGATGTCAACACATTATAACGTGATGATATTTCTCATCAAGGCGGAAGCTGAACGGCGGAACGGCAGCCATTATGACAGAGTCTGATGTTGATCTGGACATGACCAGAAGATTCCCCCCGTCAGTTGTGTGGCGGACAGTGGAGAATGGAATTGTAGCATGAGTATGTAGTGAAGAAAAAAAAAAAGAGGATGTGATACACTAACAAATGCATGGAGAAACATTTTTGATTTGAAGTGTTGTTAAAAAGCATAGTTTGAGTCATGGCTCGCCAAGACATGAACAATATGTAAGCTGTGACGATCATTACAAGATGACCACGAGTTTAAACATTTCACTGTGGAGTTGCATTGTTTCTGCATTTTGTGACTTTTAATCGAATAAAGACTACTTTTCCAGTCATACATTTGGTCGTTGAAGTTCTCTTCAAAATACAGTGAAAAACTTGGTCTCTCGGTCTCGTGAACCCAATATCGTATCTCGTCTTGCCTTGTGCACTGAGGCTTGCGTCACACCCTCAACTTCTAGACTCGTCTGCTGAACATGCTGACAGATGTTAGCAATGCTAGTTAGAATGAATCACCGTCTTAACTTTGTCCACACACTTTATCAGACACTGATCGTTAGCTGCAGCTAAAGTTACTGCGTACATTGTTTATTCATAGAGCGGCTGGAAAAAAGAAAAAGGACATATTGAATATGCGACAAAGCCTCAGACAAAGGGAAGTCTTCATCATGTCTGCTACCACATTGGGGAACAGAAAACTATCTGCACATGAAAATAAATGGAGGGATGCAAGACAAAAACGCAGCTGCTAAGGGTTTCCAGGTTGTTGTGACCTCCATAGCTGACCCTCAGAAGGGAAGTGATAATGAGCAATGTGCTCAGCAGGACTCAACTCCTTAATAGACTTCTATGAAACAAGTTCTCACTCTTTTCAGAGTGCTAGCTTGTACAGACTCCCAGATTCAGATTGTTACATGCACAACCACAGTATAGTCATGATTCAAGGAGCAGCCATGCCCCAAAACTCTCCAGAGTCAGAGAGGACAGGTCGGTTTTGAAAACAATGATCATCATCCACCAAGCCAGCATCGTAGACATCCCCACAACAAGTGACACCAATGAACCAAAGCCTCTATGTTTGCGTATGAGAGGAAGTGGGCATAGACACCCTGAGGGCCTTTGATATTTTAGTTACCTGTCAGTCTTACTCTCTTTCTGTATCATGCTATCAGACAGCTCCTCTCAAAGAGGCCAACCGTGGGATCCAAAGATAATAGGACCCTGGCCTGAACCTCTCCAGGTTAGAGTGTGTGAGAAATTGAGACGGTATTCTTTTTGGGAAACTGCTGAGTGACATTTTGATCATCCAAGGGAAAGGTCAGCTGGGGAGAAAGGAGGGTGTACTCTCCTGTAAAGGTTGTCTCACTGAGCCTTCTACCTTTTTCCCCTATACATAAAAACCCTGCAGCAATAAGTAACCAGTGGAGGCTCCAACCAAAACACTAAGTCTGCTTCACCTATAAACACACAAGTTGGCAATCTGCGTGCCAGAAAACGCTAAATAAAAAAAAAAATCCTTCTTGTGCTATACAAGAAAAGTCACAATGTGTAGTTTTGAACAATGTCAGTGAATGACAGAAGAACTTTTAGTGACAGCAAAGAGAAGACTCTTGCACAGGCACTCTCTCCGAGATGTCTCAGAGCCCCAAGAGCTGAAGGGGATTATGTAAGTCACTCAGTATACTGGGTCACCCAGTCGTTTTTGATATGCACTACTACTGTAGAGCTGCTGTGCTTTTTGTAGAGATTCTCACTTCGTAGGTTTGTAGTACAGCTGAGAGTCAGTATGATAGACAGTTTATTGTAATTATTTTTTACTACTTGGTTGCTGTCACACAATGGACACAAAAAGTATTATTCTTTCATGACCCACAACGACTGATTGTGTGACAAATGACGGCTTTTAAAACTACAACTACTACTATTAAAGATGTTAACAGGTGAATTGTATCCTTACCACGGATATAGACTGTAGGAATGATGTTACCTGGAGAAAAAAAATATGAGGGCGTCCCATAAACAGTGAATAATAACACTACTGGAAGGGTGCAAACAGTCTGAAATTCCATGGCGTTTTACCGGTTAGTGGTTATTCTAGGACAACCTATAGGCCATAAAAACCATAGGGTGAGTGACTAACTCCTCACTCAATTGAAAGAGGAAGTCCCCTCATGACATCATCAATTCAACCTTTCATACTCTGATTTCCAGGTAAAGAAACACTCCCTGAACAAATCACTAGAGCAGCAGTATGCGTTACTATTTTCATTCTGAATCCATTCTTCACAGAGAGATCACTCTATCAATGAAAGCTAACCTCCTGAACCAAGCACACAGTTTTTCCATGCTCTACATACAATGAAGTGGGGGACGGAATATATAATTTGTGTGGGTGGGTTGGCTTCACGAAAACAAAAGAGCAAGCTTTAACAAACACATTCAGTGTATTTAGCATTCAAGGCTGCATACCCAACAACAACTTAATGAGTTAAACAAGAAAGCAACTGTCCAGGCAGGTAGGATGTGTAGCCGCTGCACATCACGGACTCATTGTTTGTTTTTTCTGGTAGTGTCATGTTACTCCCTTTGAACGACAAAAAAAAAAAAAATAGCCATTTCAAAGGCAAAGTCGTATCAACTCGGAGTGTTCATTTTTGTAATGACTCAACTTCACTAAAAAATGTCACATTTGTTGCAACTTGTCACCACAAAGGACGTATTACGGAAAAAAAAAAAAAAAATACACCTGCCAAGTAGCTTAATGCTTTCATAAAGTTACCACTCATAGTGGAAGTGAAACCGGACGTGAGGTGTTTCCACTTCACAATAAAAGCGCAGTCACTCCGCAAACAACTCGCAAAATTTCTCTATCATTTGGGAATATTTACTAAAAGCGTACAAAAAAAAACGCAATTTCTTAATTATTTCTCATTTCTCCTGTAGTATTAATGTCTTTCTGTGTGTTGTCAGTTTAGTTGAAATTGTTTTTTTGTTTTTTTGCTTCGACCGGAAATCATCCATTTCCATTCTGGAAAACTTGACGTTGCTCTAGCATAATAGGTGCTACTGATATGTCACCTTTTGCTCTCGCTTCCCAACTTCACATGTCTTTAACAACATAATAATAAAGGGGAGAGACCCGGGTATTCAACGATTGAGCTGGTTTAACAAATATAAGATGCAACAAAGTAACAAACATGTCCTCCAACACTCCCCTGGAAAGCTACTGGACGGGCTTGAGTACCAGGAAGAGACACCAACAACTCACCTCTGTGGGGTTAAACACATAAAATAAGGAAGATTAGATAATAATTGTTGGCATAAGACGAATGTTTATGGATACGCTTGATATAATTAAGGGGGTATAGCCACAACAACTTTGTTTTTTTTTGTCCGGTGTTCGGCCTGTTGTCACATCACCACTAGTTTCGCAGCATCGGTTCAACACCCACCCCTCCTGCACCATTTCCGTGTTTTAAACGGAATCATTTCCACGGAGCTCATGCCACGTCAATTAAATACGCAGGTTTTTGCAGAATTATAACACAGGACAGTGGCACAACCAGCAGTGAATGACTATAACAAAGCCGGGCTGCTAAACGCTGCGACACTGTTGCAGAATAACCGGTTAATAAGTGAAAGGGTGCATGACGTGTCCAAATCAATGAGTCCAAGACAGTTCAAATGTGATGCTAAAAACAACGAAACTTACCCAGTGCCACCTCACAGGCTTTTCGCAATTGTGAATGGTGAGCCTTTTTCACCTCCTTGTCGGCCAGGATCTTCTCCAAAGCTCGTGTGAGGAACATGTTTTTCGTCTTTTTGCCCTCAAACATGTCGCACCGGAATTTTGGGGCGAGGTGTGCGTGGTCCCAAGGGGAGAGGAGGGGGGGGGGGGTGTGTGCTGCAGCTCCTCGAATGGAGATGTATTCCTTTACAAATGTCAGCTGCAGAGCCCCTAACAGACAAACATAAATAAACACAGAAGGTGGGGTAAATCCCTCAGATTTCCATTAACGACCTGCCTCCTGCGCCATGTTGGAGAGAGGAAGCGACGTCACGTACGTTGGAGAGCGGCCGCAGTGAGGCAGCAGGGAGAGAGGGAGAGAGAGAGAGAGAGAGAGAGAGAGAGAGAGAGAGAGGTGTCATGAGTGTAGTCTTACTGCTAAGCTCTTTTACACACACATTAAGCCTGCATGTGCTTGCGCGCTCCGCTTGTAAAATTCTTGGCAAAAAAATATATAAAGAACAAATTAAATAAAACAACCAAGTATGCCTTCTGAGCTGAGAGCAGATTTCCTCTCTTCATACCTTAACTTAAACACCCAATTTCCCACTTAATACTAAAGAAGTGCACATTGAATTTTCACAATGAATATAAAATGGGACCTGGGTGATATTTTATAAGGCTGCATTGGGTTGTATACTTATGTTAAATTAAGAATATGTTGTATAAAAGGGGAAAGCAAGCTCCCAATTTTGGACATTTTAACAGAAAAGAACATTAAAATGGAAAATAGGCAGTTTATGATTTGCATAACAACATTTATGGCTTTATCTTCATCATTCATGTTTATGCTTTTGAAGTGAATTTTTTCCACTAACAGCATGGAATTGGACTTTGCATATCACCCTGGATGTAGGAATACTTGCATCCTGTATATAATAATGAAAATTGTATTTTATATAATTATACATAGTTTTATGTGTAAGTAGTACAAATTTGCTCTCTTGTTTGTTAATGTCACACTGAAATGTCGTATACCTACTCAATTCTTTTTTTACGCCTCTCCTCACTGATGACTGTGTGCCTTCCCACATGTTTCATATAGCTACACTCTGCCTTGTGCAGCCTTATAAGATTCAGCAAAGTCCAACAGCAAATATATCCAGGAAATCTGGCAATTTGACAAGACACGGATTTGGCAGTTGTGGGCAGCAGAGTTCGCGTTCACTTTGGGATGTCTTATGTGTCAGTTCAACAGTTTCTGAATCTGTAAATATGAGCAGAGCTGCAGAGTGAGAGACCAGCAAAGAAAGAGGAGGATGTTTGAAACTGAGAGCTGGATTACAAATGTTCGGCTTAAAGTGATCCTTTCATAATGAAAGTTGTCAGTTAGATGAACATAATGACTTAAATAATGTTTATTGTTCAACAGCCCATGTGTACAAAACATGCATAAAATGCAAACATGGGCTACATCTGCATGATAAAAAAAAAAAAGCTAATCATTTTTGGATTCACAAGCTGAGATTTAGAAACAAGATTAAAAATGACAATATTGATCTTTATTCATGAAGTCAGATCAAATACAGTTGTTAGAATGTCACAAAAAGGAAATAACCAGTCAAAAGTAAACGTTTCTGACTCTGTCACTGATCCATACCTGAGTAATGATGACACAGTAAGTTACTGAAGTGATGGGGCAGTTCCCCAATTTCAGTATGAAAAAATGTAACAAAATAAAAACAATACAAAAACGTCACTAAACCCACGATTGTCTTGTGCTAGCATATTCAAAATCCAGAATGGTTGCAGTAAAAGGGCATTAATACATTTAACATTATAGTCTGAAATCTATTCTGGCACATGGGTAAGGCTAATTTTAAAATAAAAAAGCATCTGTGGATAGAGATAAAGGGTTGTATTAATCAAAAACAGTTCATGTGTCGAGGCTTTTAAACATGATATTATAATTCGTAGCTGTTTCTTTAAAAAAAAAAGAAAAGTGCTGTTGTATTATTACAAGTGCTCACATGACCATTATTTACTTAAGGAAGCTTAAAGTGTGAAAACTAAACTACATTTTTCATGTTTTTAAAACAGAGAGCAACACAGATATTGCATGGGACACATAAACGCTCCACTGCTCTCTGACTCTGTTTGTGGGATCTTTACGTATATAAACAGGATGGTCACACATAGGATACATGGTTCAACACAAAAAACCCCACCACTAGTTCATATCTGCCAAAGGCATCTTATCAGAAAAGGAAAATAAGGTGAACAACCTCAAAAAACAAGGAAAGCAGATTAAAATCCATGCTTTGCTGGTTGTTCTCATCTGATAATATCTTGTGGGGGGGGGGGAATATGAAATCTCTGAGGGATATGAGGTGTTGAGATAAGTGACCGGTGAGTGGCAGCGCGGTCATATATATGGAAATCGGTCCTTGTCTGTCTCGCACTTCTTCAGCAGACCTGATGCGATGGCCTTTACGGCCCTCATAGTCTCGGTGCAGGTCGGGTTGATCAGAGATTCAGGCAGGAGGAAGCCGAAGTATCCCGTGTCCCTCAGCTCAAACGCGAATGTGTACGGGATCCCGTTTCTGTACGCCCAATCTATGGAGCTGCCCGAACTCACATCTGCAGAAAAGAGAAACAAACAGTTGCAGCGGCATGTATGCATTAAGCTCCTCCCTTAAGGTTGACAGGTGAGGCCAGAAGAGAGCCAAAAATCCTCAAGTATGGCATGAGAAATCATAATGTCGGTTTTGTTTTCTGAATCCGGAAGACCATTTGAGTAAATTCCTTTAGAAGAAGAGTTAAAGAACTGTACTCACACAGAGTCGTGGATGCAGGTCCATATCTGTACCTTACTCCATAAGCAGAGTAGAGGGCTGTCACTGCATTTTGAGCTGCTGACTCCTGCATCGAGAGAGCATGATGAGGCAAGTTGATCATATATGTCCTAACATCAGGATTTATTAGTGCTTTTCGGTGAAGTCACCTCAGCATACAACCACACAGGAGTCTGCTATGTAATGAATTAGAACCTTATCTTGAGTCATTACGTCTTACCACACAGCTGAAGTTGGGGATAGTGGCGTACTTGTAGGAATAGGGGTAGAGCAGCATTTGGGCGTAGGCGTGGATGGATATGTAGGCTTTGACATGTTTCTTGTGCTTGCGCAAGAACTTAGCAACGGCCTTGACTTCGGGTTCAGACTCGGGGAACGGCCCGCAGTAGGTGTCGTCACAGGGATGAGAGGAGGCTCCTTCCTCTGGAGAAACACAAAAGGGCCATTTTGTAATCACAACCGATTGCGTTAAGCCACGGGTCTGGATTCACAAGTCAAAAGTTTGTGTCTGATAAACAAATTATGTTTAAATGATTCACGCTTGACCTTGACCTTTTTAAAGCAGAGTCCAAAACAAAGCGTCATTTTTTTAAGTGTTTGCAATTAAAAGGAACTTTAAAAAGTCTAATCCAGGAATAACAGAAGCAAAGGGGAGGGTAATGTTAGAAATAAAAGTTATCCTTCAACTAGAATATGTCCTTTTTTTCACTCATTCTCAATTCTTTTGCACTTCAAGTCCATGTTCTTTCAATCGTTTTTGTTTTTCATTCATGAGTATAAATCCTCACAATCATATTCTCTATGCTGCAAGACTACATGAACAGCATTGTAAAGTAAATACAGTGCTTTCTTTTACTGCTGTTTTACAAAGAAATTCAAAGTTTTTTTCTCACAGCAAGTTCTCCAAATGACAAGCTTTGAACTAAGAAGTCAAACAGTCAGTATGTGAGCTTATGTTCCTTTGCTAGGGCACAACTTTGTGACTCAAATTCTTTCTGTATTGCAAACTCCTGTGCTATATTCTAAGAGACTACCCAGATTGATTCAGCAGAACCCGTCCAACCACCTCCCACTAGAGACTAAATGACATCAAAAACAGACTGTCAAATATTTTATCCACAGCTTTAACACATTAACTGACAGAAAAACTACATCAGCAGGAGACTACAAGGAGTTCTTCGTCAAGTTGCCGCCCTCATGTACTGTGTGTGATTTCCCTCAGAGTTCAGCTGAAGTTCAGTGCTATAAAACTCACCACACCATTTCACCTTCCAGTTTCTGTTAGCATCCGTCCCTCGGCAGTGGAACTTGTGATTTCGGGACCTCGTTTTCCTCCAGAACCGATCCTACAAGTAAAATAAAGACAGTCATTTAATGTCCGCCGGCTGTCAGACGCATCTAACAAATGGAGCGTCCTGCCATCTCCAAAATAATCCATCTGTCACTCATGAAGCTCTGGTTGGTCTGTCACTAAAAAAAAAAAAAAAGGTTGTAACCAAGGAGCATTTTTCTTTCTGTTATTTTCACTGAAGATATGTTTTTGATTTAAGATCAGAAATTAAAAAAATATCTGACTCATGCTGACAATTAAAGCAACCTTTAGTCTGTAGTGTATGTAAAAAGATGATCAGTACCGTGGTCCAGCTGAAATGATATCCATCCACATTGAGGACGGGCATGATGTAGAAGCTGAGCTGGTTGAGCAGCCGTCTCATCACAGAGTCATACTGATACGAGTTGACAGCCTGAAATTAGAACATTAGACGGTAAATTAAATTAAATACAGAACATAGAATAAACCAGTATAATTATAGAGTAAATTCACTGCGTTCAAAGTTATATTGAGTTGTGGTCCATTTACACATTTGCATGTAATTGCTCTTCTGTTATTTTGCAAATGTCTGTTACTCCATCAGTTCTTTTCCTGCAAAGCTATAGTGGGTTACTACTCATGCTATAGATGAGGATTGGAGTGAGGCAATCTGGGCTCTGGGCTAATACTGCTTATATACCTGCCCTTTAATCAGTCCTAGGTATAGGTCACAGGCCAATGTCGATAAGCTTAAAGCATTCAACAAAAATGGCATCCTGACCTCTACTGGCTAAACTTAGTTACTACATCACAGTGAAGCCACATCACAAACATGAATGAGCCAGTTGGAGCATATATGACTGTTTTCAAACCAAAAAAAAATCTAATTTCAATCAAGTTTTTTTTTTTTTTTTTTCTCAGATTCTTTAATTTGATAAAATTCCTTTTTTTGACCTTTTTCTCCTTTTGAATTTGTGTTCTCTTTAATGTATTCACATCCTACTCCTTTTTTAATATTCACTGAAGGGTTTACTGGTAGTTGTAAATCCATGTTTTAGCCTAAGGGGATAAGTCATGTTTTACTTTGTCTCCTGATGATTATGTTTATATTCAAAGCATCATTTCGGAGAAGTGTCTGCAAAGAGAATCAAGCGTAACTAAACAATGTTTTGTCAATAGTATGCTTCATTCCCTCAAACAGCTGACCTTTAAAATGGGCATCTGCTTTTTTATAGTAACACACATGTCTTTTCAGTTCATCTGGTTACTACACTTTAAACTTTGTTGCTTTTTTTGTTCAAGCATTTTAAAAGTACCAGCCAGTTGTGGACTATTGTGCATGAATTAAGAAGAGTTATATGAAACACTGTGACTCATGAAACAAAAGAAATCATAAGTTTTCCCATAACTGTAAGTGAACTGAAAGCAGATGTTCCTGTTTTGCAGCAGACCCCAGAGATTTAAAACAAAATCCCAGATGGTTTGCTGCAGGTCAAAGTTTAGATATGCATTCTTGTAAGACACTTTTTAAACATGCAAACAGATCAAACTCTGTTTCCATATTTAACTTTTCCCACAAAACAAATCCAATTCAGAACTACCTCTTTGACAAACCACTGGCAGAAGGCAGGTCCTATCCACTCTCTGGCATGGACGCCGCAGTCGATCCACACAGCTTTCTTCTGATGACGACTTCTCTTTCCTATCTGACAGGAGACAAGCACTTTCAGTTTGAGTGCATGAGCGTGTGCATGCAAATGTGTGTCTTTTGCATGTCATTTTTTCATGTTTATGCCACATGCCTTCCCTCCTACCTGAAGCACATATAGCGGCCTTCCCTCGTACGACTTCCCGATGGAGAACATGTCAACCAGGTCTGAGTGGGTTCTGTTCACATCAAACATCCATCTCTGGATCTTAAGGGTGAAAAAACACCATTTAAATATTTGTTTATAATGTTTTAAACAGAAACCAGGGAATTATTTAATTCATTTGATAAGCATTTCTTGTTTCCAGAAACTGAAAGTAACCCCAACAGTAAACGATAACATGGTGATTAAGTAGATTTTTTTTTTCTGCACATAAGATTTGTGTCGACTCTGAAGATCTCTGAGTGGAATTCTTGCTGCCTTATAGCACACTTTCATGAACCAAAGCTGATCAACCAAGGAAATAAAACAATATTATTGAGTGCTGGTAGTTGAGTTTATGTCTCTATTGGTGTGAGAGTAACACCTACACACTTGTAAGGAGAAACCTGAGGATTGAGGTTTTAAAAGCACCTTGAAGAGGGTATTAGTTTACTGTGAGTGTGCATTAGAAAAGAGAGTAAAGAAGAGTGTGAGATGAGAGAGAGAGAGAGAGACAGAGAGAGAAAGAGAGATTAAGGTAGGCAGATGACTGGCTTCACATCTACCTCTTCCAGAGAGTGGTACACCTCGTAGTCATACTGAGACTCTGACCTCCGCCTGCGAGACGAGCGGTATCCTGTCTGCTTCTCAATTTCACTCTGTAGATTGGAGATAAAGACCCTGTGGATGGGGGAGAACTCATATGATGTACAAGATAGCCAAGCCCTGACACAACATAACAATAATATCGAAACATGTGAGTTGAGTCAACGAATTGCAGGAATTTCATTGACATTACTGTGTAGGGTTTTTATTACTTTTGCTTTTGTACGGATATATTTGTTGCTACTACTTTCAGTTTAGTTTTAGTTGTACCCCATGTGTATTAGGGTTAGGGTTAGGGTTAGGACTCAGAGTTCTGTCCCTTCTGAGTCAGTTTGATTAATCAAACATGTCTACCTTTGTTCCCTGTGTCTGTTCATGTTTTCTTTGTAAAAGTAAGTCATTGTTTTTTTGTGTTTTAAGTCCGTGTAAAAATCCACATCCGGGTCCTCAGCCTTTGGTACTTCACCAAACATGCCTGGATTTATTGTTGAGTCTTTCCTTACATCAATAATGCAGTTTTCTAAATGAGCCTTCACTGTGTTTGATAGCAGTGCTGTTTATCAGTATATGTCATGTGTTGCAAATTAGCCAAAACAATATTTATCACCATCCTTATCTGTTTATAGACTTCTCTCTGTCTACCTACCTCCCACTACGACCTAAAACAGACGACGTGATTGCTTTTTGCTATGCTATTGCTATGTGGGCAGCTTCTTAAACGCACTTCCTCACACTTCTATCTCTAACTACCTCGGTACCTCTTAAAAAAAGATGGATTATTTCCCTGAGGTGAAAAAATCTGACGTGTAATTTCCTCAAAGCCCAGCCACACACCAAAGACTGTCCCCTGCAGTGTAAAGCATTTTGAAATATTCTCAGCCAGTCAACACAGAGTAAGTGGGGGGGGGGGGGGGGGGGACCTTCATCCTCAGATCTGCAACTCCTCCCTCAGGACAGAGATGACAATGGAATTCTTTCTAGCCGCGGCTGCTTTGATAAAGCTCTCATCATTTCAGCGTTAATTTCGATGAGGGATGGGGCGGAGAGATGAAAGGGTTGCTTCTGGGAGCAGATTGCGAGAGGGGGCTCTGTTGTACTCTGTGTGTGTTATTGCGAGTCCCAGCTTTTGCATGCAAACTAAGGCCAAGTCTGCATGTGCAAATCGTATATTCCAGCTGGGGAAATCCGGGTAATTGCAGCACCCTTTGGATAACAGATGTGTTTCAGGGGTGTACAAACTCTACTTACAAGATGAACAAATGCTTACGAGTACACAAACAAGCATGTGTGTGCACTGTCGTCTGTACTGTATTTCCAGTCTTACCGATAGTCCATATGCTCGAGCTTTAAGCGTGCATGTAAACCTCGAGTGCTGTTGCGTTTCACATGGACGTCCACTGTGGCGTTTTGTTTGATGAGAGTAGCACTGTTGGGCTGCCAAAGGTCCACCTAAAGGAACATGACAAATATGTTAGAGCATCAGTAACAGAGACACAAACAACCAGCAGGACCTCTTTATATGAGAAAAATCCTACATTCAGGTCATAATAAATAGCAATATCAGAATATATCATGTCATATCATTGTATGTACCTAAATCAATTCTGAGCAGGTTTCTAAAAGATGGTGCAAAAGATTACTGTGGCCCGTTAAATTAAATGATTGTAACTTATACCAGTAATGATAACCAGTTCACCCTGTAACAAGTGAAACCTGGGCAGTTTGACACTTCTCCCATCTTTACTCTTGGAGTAAATCGGAGGGGAATGTGGAGGAATCTGTGTTAATAGGGCAACACTGACAGGGTCTGTTAGCTTTAGCGCACAGGCTAATCTAGCCAGCTATATAAACACAGACACCATGTGGTGACTGATAAAATAACAGAGAGTCAGGGAAACTAAAAAGAAGCAAGATATTAGTATTCTTTAAAGAAAAGAAGAGCATCAAGACACTCAGTGCTCCCAGCAACGAGAACGCTGTTTACTCAGAGTTTTTGTGTTTGCAGATGCGTGTGAACGTCTTCAGCTGGCTTTCGTTCACACTGTAGCAGGCATGCAGGCCTGCACACAGGCTTGTTAATGTGTCAATTGCTTTAATGGTTTACAGAAAGCACACCAGTTTGATTTAAAGTTTGCTTTAGGCTGGTGTAGAAAGTGCTACTCTGAAAGCCAAACAAATCCCAAACACATACGCCGAAATGCCCTGAAATATCCCCGATCAGATAACACAAGCTCCCACTGACAATTCTCTGATTTGAACATCTTTATGGCTGTATTTAAAAGCTCTAAACTCTTTGGGATTCTTCTCTTTCAGTGAACATAAACCTAATTTGTGTTTTTGTGGTTAATTTAACACTCACATGGGCAGAACAAGACAGGAAAGTTAGCTAAATAAATAAAAAAAGCTTGCCTTCCTAAAGGCAGCTGAGGTCAAGCTGTAACTGAGTGGTTATATAGAAAGTCAAAGAAAACAAGTTTATAAAAAATAACGAAGTAATGGGTCTGCCAATTGTTGGTTTAGCTTTTTATATATTGTTGGGCAGAAACGGGGAGATGGCATCAAAGTGGGGAGGACACATAAACAGACTGGTAACATTTCTATAAAAAAATGGCTCACATCAAATGCAAAGGAGAAGTCCAATAGGTAATTAGGGGAAAAGCAAAATTAAAAACACAGACAGGAGAGGGGAGACAGAGCAAAAATAGTGTAGTAAGAAGAAAATCCATGATAAAAACACTAAAGGACACAGAAACTAAAGAAAGACAGAGATGAAGTACACTTGGAAGGTTAATGAAGACTTGTCTTAAACCCCAAAGGAAATTCTGGTGCCAGGATGCTCCAACATTACAGTACAAAAGAAGAACAACTTATCTACATGACGTATGAAAAGCAAAGTGTATTATAAATTATATATATTTTAAAGTGCATGAGGGTAAACGTGCTTCAAATGAATCAATAGAAGTACAATAAGCTCAGCTCACAAAGGTAAACAGAGCCAAGTTTACAAAGACGTGGTGAACCGGCAGATAATGGTCACTGTTCAGAGCTGAAGCAGGTACAGGTCGCTCTGTTTAACAGGTCATCATTTTGAGTATGTTCATAAACATGTTCTCCATGAGATGAAGTGCTTGTGACTGAAGAAAGTAAGTTTTAACTTTTTGATTGACATTGTTTTGTTGAAGGTGTTCAAGGTGTGTTTCATCTTTAGGTTATGTGGAGTTCACCTGTCAATCAAACAGTGCATCCTGGACTGTGAGGTTTACTATAAACTTGTAAAAACCTGCTAATGTGGATATTTTCAGTAGATCAGACTCTGTTGAGTAGACTGGACCAGATTGTTTCATGTTATCATAATCTGTTTTGGTGCTTTAAGGAATGCAAAACTGATTGATTGATCTTTGGAATAATCACCTGTAAGTGTTTTGAGCAGCAATCTTTAACAGGTGAATGTTCCATGTTTATTACTCAGCCATGGGCAAAGCATGAAATGTCTTTTAAACTCGAGTCCAATAAGTCTGACTCTATAGCACTACAGGCATGACAGTGCGGCTGAGCGACTAAAACCCAAGTCCACAGCTGTCCAAACACAAGCTGCCGCTGCCTCGGTTGGCCTTGGATCATTGTGCTGCTCTAACATACACACAAGTCTGACCAGGTCTTGACCAGCAGCCATGGCTCTCTCTTCGTATCCCTCACCACAAATCATAAACATTTACTGACTCCCAATTTTCATTCCCTTTTATTTCCCCGCTCACAGCTGTATTGCTTCTGGAACTCTTGAGAAAAATCTGACCTGAACCAAAACACATGAATTAAATTTATGTTGATGAGGCATCTAACTGCATAAATACACAAGTCAAGCAGACCAAACCAAACAAGGCCAAAAGAAAGTCTCTTCAATGACTCTTTTTCTTTTTTTACAAGTTGTTCAATACGTTTTCTTAAGGACACTGACTTGGTTTGAACAGATGCAAATACTTAAAGCCTGTAAAATCAAACTTAACTCTAAATAAAGCCTAACTATTGCCAAGCTTTAGTCTTCCAATCATTAACTTAGTTCTTGCAGGAAAAAAATGCAGATAAGAAAAGAGGATATGATTCTTGAAATGCTTTTTTCAATTCCAGTAAGTGGGCCTCTTGTAAAGACTAGCATTAATATAGTGTGCAATACCTCTCACGATGCAATGAATGAAATTCTGATGGAAAAATGAGTTTTATGAAAGATGTTTCCGGTACAATGGCCAAGTTTCAACGTACTGGAATCAAAGCAACTTTTAACTGTTTAATTCTAATCTTGAATGTTTCTTAAATCCCCCCAAGATTCAACTGCATCATGCTTTTAATGATTCAGAAAACATTTGTGCTGTATTTGCAAACTTAAACAATATGCAAAGGAAGGTCGTATACAGTATGCCCCTGGGGCTGATGGGTAATCACTCCTGAATTAATTTGGAAAAAGCCAGGCCTTGCTTTTTGCATTTTTTAAACAAAATATTTGACAACATTTTTCAGCCTTTTAAATTTAAACTCTTATTTGTCTTTCCCACTTAAATGTATCCATAGAATCCTATCTACAGTATCTCAGTTATACAGACAGAGAGTATATCCTCACTGTGACAGATGAACACACTCGGCTGCTCCCTGTCTCTCTATTTTCCTAACGCTGTCCCAGTCCTCTGTCAACTCCCCCCTCCCCTCCCCAGCGTCAAGCCTCACTCTGTCTGTGACTTGCTGTTTAAGTGTCATAGAAAGCCCAATGAGGGACTGTGGTCTGGTGTGAGCAGAATAATAACAGATACACTTTATGTGGCATTTAAGAAAGAGTGAAGTGAACAATAGTGAAGTAAACATATTTAAAACAGTCTGAAAACTTACCAATCAGAGTCTTACATCGTCCTTACTTACTTTGTTCAGGTTAATATATACAGTACATATGGGAGGGGGGAAAGTGGGTGTTGTCAGATGTAACTAATGTATCATGTCATGTGTTTTTTGTAAGCTGCTGGATGCTTTGAATTTCCCTCAGGATCAATAGAGTAGCCATCCATCCATCCATCCATACATACACACATGTCGGAGTAGTGAGTATGTGTGTTTAAAGGGAATAGAAGAATCATTGATTCACTGACCTTCATATGTCCCAGAATTCTCTTGAGCGTTTGGACCTCCTCAGCATCACTCGGAGTGATCCTGAAGACCTGATCCCTGTAAAAACAACAGAGATCCTCTAAGCGTCTGATACATGATCAAAGTGCCCTAAATCCTTTTTAACGGCAGTAAAATTTACTTCAACAGGCCTTGGATCCATTTTCTATAACATCGGGGGCCATGCAGTCACAGGCAATACAAGCTCCCTTTGTGCCGATTGAAGTTGGCATTTATAATAGCAGGTGTTTGGTGGAGGAGTGGGTCGGTCCTCGTCAGGGTCAAACCCCAGTCAAACAATCAGAGAGGGACATCATTAAAGGATTATATTTCATGTTTTCAGCTATGCAGGTTAAACCTGGAACTGTTTTTTGGTGGACGCTGTCGATATAGCCATGTGATATAGTTCATATATCAAAAGATTAAAGTTTTTTACTTCTCTAATATTTAATTATTCACAATATTGAATTACTTAATCGTAGTTTAAATTGACACAGCAATTAAATACTGCTTAAATCTGATTTACTTTTGCATTTCAATATATTTCTATACGTTGCAATCATGTAAAATAGGCATTATGTTGTCGTTTTCATTTCAATTAAAAACATGTTGAAGTATGAAGTATTGTGGTGCAATCACAAACAATGCAGCCCAGCATAAACAAAATACAAACAGAATAAAAAACAGAACTACTTTAGTGCAAAGTGAGTAAAATAATGATGTGCCTGTATGATTTAAAAATAGACTCTTTGCAAGAAGCCCACTATAAAACACCTGTGGAGCTTTTTTGAAAATCCAAGCAGTCAGCACTGTAGTTCACTGACATGTTCTTACACTCAAAGTTTTTACACACAGAAAACAAATCATTCATGAAAAGAGAAGTGGGATTAACTGTCTTCTCATACACTCCCACGCCTGTGACCACATCAAGCCCTGTCCTTCATAACCTCCACTGGCTCCCCATCCCCCAGCGTATCCACTTCAAACTGCTCATCATCGCCTATAAAGCCCTCCATAACCTGGCTCCAGCCTCTCTGTCTGACCACCTCCCCCCCTCCTGCCCCCTCCCCAGCACCGCAGGACCAACCATCGGTCCTGGGGGTACAGGGCCTTCTCCACTCCTTCTTTTACATTATTTCTTTGTTGTATTGTTTTCACAGTTTTATTTTGTTGTTATTCTTTGTTAAGCGCGAAAAAGTTTAATGCATTATTAAAACACAATGATGCTTGTGCTGATTTGAAGCCTATATTACCCAGCTTTGTTTTATCAGGAACAAAGATGAATCCTGCAGGGGAAAGTCCATCAGTTATTGGGAACATAAGTTTACATAAACAAACATTAACAAACATCTCATTGATAGAAGAAGTTTTAGAGCCTCTCTAACCTACAATACAATAATACTCTTAATCCCAGGATGACTTTGACATAGCGCTGCTTTGATTCTTCAGATCGCAGCTCTTAAAAGCTAACATACTGAAGTGCTCCCTCAACTCTGTGTGATTGGTTACCTGAGTGTCTGCCAGGTTGTATATGTATATGTCCACTTTCATGTGTTTCAAACCTCTTTCTTCCTCTCTCAGATTTATTTCAAAGAGCTTTTTTTTTTTTTTTTTTCCCCAAATGTGCCACACAGGAAGTTGGGCCCCTCAAACAAAGGTAACAGCAGGCGGCTCGGGGGTTTGAGGAACAAAAGGGACCAGGGTGTCCCATGTGAGCGGCCACCCTATTTCAGTGGCCGCATTAGCTGCCCAAAACCTGCATGTTTCCATGGCAACAACAGTGAAAAGAGATGGAGTCAAAATGAGGTGGCAGTTGATTTGTTTTGGGCGTTTATTGTTGGGATGGGATAAAAATGAGGAAAACTGAATGAAGATCCTGTGAGTTTTTAGCTGGTTATGAAATGGACTGAAAATATAAATGATGCTTTTATTCATGAGTGTAAAAAGCAAACTGGACCCACAGCAAAGCGATCCGACTATTTCCAAATAGTTATTCTTAATGACTGAAACTCGGAAGTGATAAACGGAACACCGCAGAGACGGTCTTTGTTTACGTTCTTCACAGCAAGGATTCTTATTTTCATGATTCTCATGATTTGACCGTCTAAAGAAAGCAGGATTTTTTGCTAAAAAACAGACTGAGACATGTTCTCGACAACTTCTGAAAAGAGTTGAGAGGTACAGCTTTGTCTGTAGAGGATGCAAAATCAACACAGGCTAAAAGTTTCTCACAGGAGCTTTAGAGTCCAGTTAGCTCCATAATTCATCTCAGATTTCAAACTTTGAAAACAAACCTTGCAGTTTAGTATACTCTTGTTTTCTTTAATATAAGATAAATGATTCAATTTCTTCAACCCAAATAAGTGAAACTCTGTTTTTGTTTTCATTAGTGCAAAATAAAGTTCTTCCCCGTGTTCTTCTGTAGACCAAACTGAACCAGATCCTCCTCTTTGTTTTAGTGATCCCGCAAGATGACGGCAGGCTGTTTTAGTTTGAGTATTTTCTTGGCAAAGGCCTTTTGCTTTGCATCAACCAGCTGCAGGGCTTTCTGAGCTAAAGCTGTCCTCAAGTTGACTGTCTATTGATTCCCACAGTGGGACTCTCGGCAGGATGGAAGCAATTTGCTTTAAAGAGCAGACTCAGTGAACTGATACTCTATTCTAAATAAATCACCATTTCTGCAGTTTTAGCATCCAAATCCTCGTGTTCAAAATGCTAAAGTACTCTTTTAATGACTGATAATGACATTTTCTCGCAATAAAAGCTATAATCTTAAGACTGTAAAGGCTCATAGTGACTGATTCTGGAGTGTATCCAAAGTATATGTTGTTTGAGACATGAGAGGAGGGGGTTTCCAGCTGAGGTGGTCTCTCTCCGTTCCTGCTAAATTACTTCTGAAGCATTTTTGAAAACATGACTCCTTAAAACATGTAGTGGCAATTTCTTCTTGTGTGTCATATGAAAATACATGCTTTCTACATGTTAACCTAAATTACTGTATGTGTCCCGCTCCAGATGGTCCCTTAAAAAACAACAACATATATTTGTCCCATTGCTCTACAAGCTTCACATCCAAGGCCAACCTGAGAGTTGCTATTATAGGAGTTAAGTAAAGAGGTGTGTGCCCTATATTCAGACTCATAAACATTCAGAAGGTTAGGCATGCCAAGACTCCGTCAGAAATGACTGTTTTGACAAATTCTCGCTCTCTTGCGATTATAGAAACACATGGCTACAGGAAAAGGGTTGAGAGCAGCTGCCTTGTTGCGGCTATAATTTTTTTGAAATGAACGCTTTGACAGGCTTCTGTTGCAGGAAGCATCCTGAGTGACATCTGTGCCTATCATGGGCAATCTGACTGTCTCTCTGCAGCGGAGCGCATCAGATTCACTCTTATCCAAACGCCACAAGACAACAAGATATGTCGATATTGACATTAAAGCACAATATTGTGTCTCACACTGGAAATATGTCTCAAAATGATTAAAAAATAAAAAAATCGGTAGATAAAAAGACTTTGTTCATTCTGTCTGCTTTGAGATAAAGCCCTGATGTAGTCTGTGAAGAAAACTTCTCCTGTCAGCCATGGTGCACTTTTCCTGCAGAATGAGCACTTTTTTGGGAGCCCCAGAAATGAATGGGGGGGGGGTCTTTACTCACCCTGCGTAGCGGTTGTTGTACAGATAGGCACCGACGGGACATAGCACGCTGCTGCAGATTATCACACATGCCAGTAAAACTGAGGCGCGAAATGCGCTCCTGAGGTCCGACACCATCCTTGGCCAGCAGATCAAAGCCAAGAGACAACCAAATAGGCAACTTCACGGGGATGCACGTCAACTTATCCGGGAAATGAATGAAACTCAAAAGGAGTCGTTTTAGGGCAGCATCGGCAGATTGGTTACTTAGTTGTCGCCGCGCGCGCTTTGGGGTAGTTGTTCCTCTCTGACACAGAAGGTGCAAAAGGTGCGAAAACAGTCATCTGGCACACGAAGAAGCATTTGCCACCTCTTTTAAAGCTGTGGAGGGAATTGCAGGGTAGCAGCCGACTTTTAAAACGAGGAGGACCTGAGTCACGTGGGCCGGTGTCGGCAAAGTTGGTAACTGGATCCCTGATCACTGGTGCGCACTCAGTGGATAATCTACAGGCTTTGTGGTACGGTGACACAACATGTGGCTGATTATTATACGTCTCTATATTTCAATGTGATGCGCGTTTCCTGTTCAGACATGGACTGTATCAAATGATTCATCTTCATAATTCAAGAACAAAAGGCTCAGTCTTCTCAGCTCAGGTCTTTGAATAAGACCCTCAGCTTTTTTCATGCGCTCATACCTGAGAGCCTTTTATGTTTCTCTGAAATATGATGTTCAATGCAAAAGCGCATGCATACTGTATGATGCAAACTCAGCTGGTTTCAGGTCAAACGGTAGCTGTCGTCATCCTCTCTCCAGGTTTTCTAAGTATTTTTGTCCTAATTTGACAGTTGACACGATCGGATATCCTAATTCGGTTATTGTTAATTTGTTCCACAAATGTGTAAGATTTTACAATCTGAAACACAGCAGTGGAAAAATCATAAAACATTCAACCCCCCCCCCCCCCCTCGATGTCAGAGGCAAATGGCTGCTGCCATAATGTAGTTAGCCTTTTGGTTAAGATTTAGGTGGAAACTAAATTTGACTATATGAGGAAGAAAATAACACATCCTGAAAATCAAAATAGAGTTTGGTCCAAACTGTTAAGCTATTAAACTCCTAAATCCTCAGCTTCCTGTTGTCTACACCTTGCTTTAACATCCCTTTTTGGTGATTGTATCACAAGTGGATAGTCTTAAAGCACAAGTGAGTCCTGAGGATGCATTGGGATCCAATCAATCAGGCTGCATACAGAAGTAGTAACAGACACATTTATCCACACTGGTTAAGTAGTGTGAATACTTGTGGGTCCTGGGCCACATTAGGGGACCACCCCCTCAAGTGATGTCATCTGCGGTAGCACTGTTAAGAACTGGGAGAGCAACCTCCCACTGAAAAAAAACATCATGACACAATCGGTCTCATCAAACCTCAATGATATAATGGCGCTTTTTTTCGCATAAGCAACCGGCAAGTGAGATCCAAACACAGAGGCAACTGGAGACACAATGTTGATGTAAAGAGAGAAGTGCTGTCCAGTTGTGAACAAATTACTGAAACCACATGTTGATACCGGGTGTAAACAGGGTCTCTTGTACCTTAATACCTAGAGTCTAGAGCAGTGGTTCTCAACTGGTGGGTTGGGACAAAAATATTGTGTCAAAAATTCTATGAAGCGTTTTATAATCATGTTTGTTTTGTTTCTTTGTTCTGTCACTTTCTGTACTGTTTGAGGTCCAACCTGCACCATTTTTCATTGAACAAGTCTGATATTGAAAAAATATCTGAAAGAAGGGTCGCGATCTTTCATGAAGGAGTTGGAGGTGGGTCCTGAGGCGAGACCAGGGCCGAGACCGAAAGTACTGACTATCCCTCAGCTCTGTCAGTGCTCTGGCCTGTCTCCACCAGGAGTCTCTCTGTGCAGCTTTAGGTAGCCCTCCCAGTTATTCCTGGCTTTCTGTGCCTCTGTTTGATCCTCTACTTATCACCCAACACAGTGATTAAATGTCTAAGTCAACCGCCAGCCTTTTCCTTTTGTGATTGCATGGCAGCAGCACATTTTTCACATGCTTCTCTCCAGTGTCAACAGTGCGCCACCTGTTTTACACCCAATTACTGTACAACAGAGCCTAAACACTCCCTGCTGCCTCTAAAACAGACACAGACATTACAGTAGACAGGAAAGGAATGCTGGTTTAGACAGTATCCGCTTCATTGCGCAAGAGATGTTAGAAAATTGGACTTAGGCTCTTGATTATACTGTTAATAATGATGATGTTTGCAGAACACAGGCGCTCAAGTCAGCAGAGACAAGTCGGTTTATGGATTGAATTTAAAGATGCTCCCTGATCCTCTTGTATTCTTTTAAACCCCGGAAAGCTTCAAAAGATAAACATAAACCTCAGAGTTAAGAGTAAAGGCGCGTCTTGGGATCCTTAACCTGACACCAAACATATTAAGCCTTTTGTGGAGTTACATGCTATATACCGGAAAACTTCAAATTAAAAACCCGTCCCAAATTAAGGCCCCGTCCCTTTCACTAGCCTGGTATTGCTGAATCTTTTGACAAATGAGGCAGGTCTCAGTTACTGTAGAGGCCCCTGTGCATTAGATGTTGAAATAGTTTTTAGCTTGATCACAATAAGTAGGCAAAAGAGTGCAGCAGGATGGCTTAGACGGACTGTCGTACAAAGCTAGATTAAATTTGTGATTTTTAATTAATGTATAATGATATGTATAATGTTAAATATTCTTTCTGGTGTGTATTTTACAATCGTATAGCGTTTCCCATCTTTGCTGTGCGTGAGCTCGGTTTGAAAAATGATGAAAGGCCTGTCTGGTGTTGAAGCCTGTCCCAGATAAAGGCAGGGACATTTCATAGACTGACGTAAATAACAGCCTATGCAATTAATTGAGGTTTTACAGTATTCATTTATGTGTATGTGGGTGACTCCCTTTCTACAAAAGTAATATAAAACTCATGCAACAAAATAAACAGAAAATGTATTTGGAATATGTTACATTTCCTCAGGCTATTTGGTGAAACAACAATGCAGGTTGTTTATCATTTTCTCCATATCCTGTGGTTATTACGTCAGGAGTAAAGTTAAAACATTTCAGGAAAAACAAACCTTTGCTAATATCTATTTTTCTTATAAAGCACAGAGGGGTGCACGACTCAAAACATTGAGGTAGTAAAGCCAAGCGTCGTCCATTTGTGAAGAGCTCTTGGGCAGCAAATCAAGTTGAATTCAGGGAGTAAAAACGTCTCTACTTTTAAGTGCAATAAAAAACTACTATCCATTAGAAGAAAAAAAAATCCCCCGTAAAAAAAAGCACCAGGCTTACAGGAGGGATGTACTGACAGAGCTATTTTTCAGAACTAACTTCAACCCAGAAACTTGAGTGTTTTTGAGCAGCAGGACGGCTACACACAGAAGCATATTCATAAAAATGCTTGCTTTACGCTCTGTCTATATCATGCTCAGGGATTTGTGGGCAGAGTGGAAACCGTGGCATTTAGAGGCTGTTTGGGTAGCTGGTCTTTTTAGCGTGATAGTTTGTACTGATTTGTAGGCTGAGGGCACAGAGGGAGCCGGTTTGGTGGTGTTTGTGTTGCTTTTAACACACAGGAACGCAGACTTGGGCGCTGGGTGCCGCTTTGGGATCTGGTCAGCAGAAAGAGGGAGAACCATGCATCTCTCTAAGAGTTGATTCTAGCGCCAAGCAATCTTAGAGTGGCATCAAGGTGCAGTAAATCAGCATGTTCCTCCCTGACTGTGTGTGAGGGGTGTGAATGAGCTCTTTGATAAGGGTGCAGTCTGGGGGCGGGGTTAGTACTGGTTTGGGAGGTGGGTCTGGTCAGACTGTTGGGGCTAACTGCAGCTCTTTGTGGTATCTTTAGGCACTCTGGAGGATCTGAGAGTCCCAACTGACCCTGAGCCTGAGGGCACATCTTTGACCTTTGACTCTGAGAGTAGAAGCAAAGAAAAGGAGTGGAGGGGGGTGTAGACCGAGTATGTGTAGGGGCCATTTGACAGCCAGGAAAGTATCATCTCTCAATAAATAGGTAGAGGAAACTAATCAGAGAGAATCTGAGTTTGCACTGGTCCATCATCTTCAGATAAGTGGATATGGGATTGCACTGGCTTTGCTCTGCGGACATCAGACTTTTAAATATTAGACTACAAAGCACGAAAAACTTCAGCCACTAAATCAGATAAGATTGTTTGGCATAATATGAGTAAAACTGTTGAGGAATAACCTATTATCAAGTACCAGTGGTTCCATATGGGTATCCAAATGTGCCAAAAACAATTGTGTTTCAAATCTTTGTCTTTTCAACTATTAACTGTACCTTTAGCTGTGACAGACCTATTTGTCCTGTTACTACTTTTACTTTGGAGTTCATTTGTCTGTTTTCAAGTTACTGTTGAAACGTTGATCTACGGTAAGTTCCTTATTTCTTCCATCATGAAGGCACATTTGATCCAAACAGGGAATGAAGTACCCTAATCAATAAAAAAAAACTAAATAAAAGCATAGAAAAGTTTCTTAAGAAAATCTCTTAGTTTAACCTCAACTGTATTCTTTACATCTCACAGTAGTACAAGATGCTGTGGACAAGTTGGTGTTCTGCTCACTTGGACATAAACCGTGTAAGAAACTTTATCCAAGTTTCATAAGACGTGTAAAATCTTTGAGAGTTTACTGTTTGAACTGTATAATGAAATTGTAAGTCAAATCCGTAGTTGTAATGCTTAGTTAGACTTGTTGATATGAGCCGTGGTTGTGTGTCTCACGTTGTTACAGGTATTCTTATCTTGAACTTTTTTTTTTTTTCAAATGTGGTTCTTAAAACTTGCAGAAAGTTTGCGACAATGTTTGTTGTAGTTCGTTATCACCACAAGATGGCAGCAGAGCCTTCATGTCGGTTCTATGATTAAATGTAAGAACATGTAGGCCTACTGAGAGTTATTTGTAATTACTAATATTATAAATAACGGTATTTATTGTTGATAGTGAATATTACAGAGAAGACGTTCAAAATGTGTTTAATGTTTAACTTTTTTCAAAAAGTTAATATTATTATCATTATTCTTCTTATTTTCTCCATATTCTAATTATATCCCTATATTTCCTACTGCTATTCTGCATATTAGAGCAACTGTAATGGCCAAATTAACCCTTGGAATTAAAGTATTTCTCATTCTGATTACATGTTCAAAAAGAGCCAGCAGCAACAATGAAAAAGTTAATTCCGTGCACCGAAGTCATGGGCAATAAAATCTGAGGGTCTGGAAAGCTATCTGCGCTATAATGGCTCATATAACGATATATGAAGACGGTATACCCAAAATGACCTCAAGGTTCTTTACTTTTTTAGGACTGAATTTGAGAACATT